TAGTCTCCGGTTAAACCCAGGTTTAAAGCCTTGCAGGGCAGCCTAAAGCCCACTGCCAACACTGACCCTTTATAGGGCAAGTTACCGTTTCTGATCCCTTGCAAACCTCTTACAAATGGAGTCCCCGCCCCCGTCCCACAGTGAGGTCTAGAAACACTAGATCTATATCCAGCCATTCAGCAAAGATCCTGCTACATGGCTGTACATCTTATTTTTGCATTTGACCAATTAGATGAGCCCTTGAATGATATATTACCGACTGGAAATTAAGTTGGAAACTAATAGAAAAGTTAAAAAGTAAAGTTAATAAGCCTAGTTATTCTATTTAGGTTTATAAACTCAAAAAATGTAAGTGCCAGTATCATCATTAATGCCTCCAAGGTTATGCTGGACCAAAAAAATGTGTTTCCTTCACTGTCAGAGTGTTTTTCATGTTTTTCTTAATATATTCGGGCAAGTTTTAATTTTTTCCATCAAAATATCCATATTTTTTTAATGTTACAAAGGTAATAAAGTCTTTTCCTTGATTCCAATGGGTTTGAAATTTTGATGTGATTTTGAGTGAAAAAAAGAAAGATAAAAACGGTCAGTTCTGTTGTTTTATAAAACATCTGAACCAGGAAATTGTCTATATACCAAATTGAACGATTGTTGTTTTCTACTTCAAAAAATCACTTTAGATTTTGAAATGGCAAAATATTTTTTTATTTAAAATTCAAGGTATAACATGGATGCATAAAAATCTGCTTTTTATTTGAGTTTTAAATTCTGTTTAAAGTAACAGATTATGATTAAAAATGTCTCCGTACCTTTACTGTTTGTTGATTTTCTTTATCGTAACCGCAATAATTTTTAATTGGTTAACCCTGATTTAGATGCTAAACAAACTAAAATCTGTATCTCTGGGTGTTTTTGAAACGGTATTCATTCATGTAGACCTAAATAAAAAGCAGAACCAGCCTCAGTTTCCTTATGTTATAGTTTATCAGAAATGCTCCCATGTTTGGTTGAGGATGAGCAGAAGCTTCTGTGATGCGTCCTGACTAAACTGTTCCCCGGCGGTGAGCAGAATAACCCCTTTCTCTGAGGAATCTGGGTGTTTTTAGTCTTTCTTCTTAAGGACCCACTCAATGAGGGCGGGGCTGGGTGCAGCACTCCTGTGCCTGATTATCCCGTCCCACTGCCTGCAGGTAAAGAGCTGTCTGATGGTTCCTCCTCATCTCATAACCGATCAAGTCGAGTCTTTACTAGAATTTTTGGCCACATTCATGCAAACATAAGTAGCTGTAGCTGGTTAACCCTATAGATACTAACCAGTCATGGACAACCTGTAGCAAAGCAGCTAATTAGCAAAAATAATAAATATTTCTTTTCATTGTGAATAAAATGGGAGCAGCAGAGAAAAAGAAGATGATGGGATCTCCGCTTGTTGGCCTGGTTTGCCCTTTAACTGGATGTGAGCCATGGCTTCATGCTTCTCTGAACCAACCTGACCACTTTTGGCCCAGTCCTCTCACCGTAACGTCTCCTTAATGACGGCCTTCAGGTACGGCATCCTGCTCAGGTCGCCCGTGGTCGGCTGCTGCTCGTCAGGACAGACAGACTCTACTTCTCTGTGCAGGCGCTCCTGAACCCTGCGGTCTCTCGCTAGATGGTACAACGCCCAGGACAGGGTGTTAGATGTCTGGGGAAAAAAAAAACCACTCCCATGAATCACATCTAAAGGATCATAAATAACATGATGTCATCAAGTCTTTACAAACGTGCTGTAAAAGGAATTCCACCTGGAGCTATTTTAGGGTTCCATTCTTTACATTCTCCTGCTGCTGGAAAGCTTAATTCTTGCATAAGGAAATAATCTAGAGGAATTTACTTTAAACCCTACAAGCACAAAGTGTTTGTTTTTCTGCTTAAAAGCTTTATGTTGTTGAATCCCTTCAGATGAGAATCAAGGAGGATCCAGTTGAATATCTGCTGCATGTCTGGGATGATCCCTATCTCTTGGAGCCAGAACCCCTCAGGCTGAAGCATGAAAGCAGCCGGACGGGTTGGGTGACACTCCGGCTCGGTCTGCAGTCCGTCTGATCCACTCTGCAGCTCGTGGAGCGGCGGTTTGTCGTCACTCTAACATAACGAGCTTTCTTTGTTTCGTCGTCTCTGTCAGGTCTGGGCATGTGTTTTATTTTCACAACAGCAATGAGCCGAGGAGCAGAGAAGTGAAATGCTTTAGTTCTGACTCATCCAGGCGTCGGTCGCAGGTAAACACGGAGCTGATTGGTGGTGAAGACAAAGAGCTGCTCCACACCGATCACTGATGAGTGACATTCTTACATGTAGCTGTCAGTGGCGGCTGGTGAAAAATATTTTTGGTGGGGCTGATATAGCCTAGTGTATGTCTCCAA